GTCCACCCTTGTTTGCATTAAAGCAGGGGACAACCAAACTGTGAGTGAGCCAACAGTTCTTCTCCTGATAAAGGACCGATGTCGTTCAAAATCGCCGCATGAGGGGTGCATACAACCAGAAACCTCTCTGTCGAGCTCATATCGAGTTGAAACAACATTCTTAAGAAGAACGAAACCAATTACTTTATTCGAACCTCTAACCGTCAATTAAGCAACATCATCTAAGTGTCTAACTATACAGCACAGTGTTTCAATTCCCAAATGAAGACCCGATTATAGCATTGTTGCGTCCACCATCGACTCAAAATATTCTCGTCGACTGCACATGTATCTCGTTTGTGAGTCGTCCTCGCATGTTGCCATCATTTTGGATCGTCATGATTGACCAGTGAATGTCGTCGATTTGTCCTGCCAGCTAAATACCAACAACAATTCTGGAAAGCTAGTATAATATGGCTTCGCACTGAATACTAGAAGTAACTGAAATTTTAGCTTTAGCTCTGCCCAGCTAAGGACTCGCATCCGCCTTCTTCACTAGTCTTTATTTGCTTTCTTTGTCCCGGGTATTCTTGGAACGGGATATAATGTGTTGTGGTGAGCCTCTCCTACTTCTGGCTCTATCCACTAATCCCTCTTCGTTATTCTCTATCCAGTTGTTTCTCGGTCTCCAAAACGTTTTGGAGCCGGATTATGGCGGTAGGGTTCTATTCTTTGCAGGGATGAAAGCGACTCATTCTCCCAGATCATTTGCTATATCGTGACGCGTCGATACGCGGAGGTGGCGCAAGCTCTACAGTGGTGGACCATACCGCTACGGGAGGGACCACTTCAGTAAGGCTGAGCCCGGACGTTGCCTTTGAGGACACTGTCAGTGCTTATTCAATATACTTCATCTACTCCTCGCGCATCTTTCGCGAGATCAGCATTACCTTGCCTGAAACGGAACATCTCAGCAAACTTCTTACCTCCAAGTATGGCATCACTCCAAATAAAGCCGATACCCTTTCTGTGACTGCATTGTAATCGAGCGATGGATGAGTGAGCTTGATGTGATTCACCAATGCTGCTTGATACTTCTTCAAAGCTGCGTCAACCACGATACGGTCAGGCGGCGGAAAGTGGACATTTGGGGCTGAAACATAAGTGTTCTACTAAGAAAAATGACGAGAATCATCTGTCAGTACTCAGCTAGTTTTTGCTCCATCTACTCCACATTGGCACTAACCATAAGACGCGCAGTCGAGCTGGAGCAACTGGTGCTGTTTCTTTCATACAATGCTCGATCAAGGGCGCCATGACTTGGTACTTACATGGGCAACTTTCTTAATAAGTTCCGCTCATCAGCCATGGGATTCTGCGATCATGCGATCATGCGATGCATCTGTGCAGGATAATATGATACACATCTGGCGAACTCAGAATCGCAAAATCGCAGCGTCGCAAGCTCGTGAACATTGACTGCGGTCTGATAAGCCGCATCATTAACGAAAAAAATTTCAATCGAAGAAGTCGTCCCTGCATAGAGCAACTCATGAGCGGTCTTGTACAATGGGGGAAAAGTCATCACATATGAAAGTTAGCGAATGTTCTAGATGTTGCCTAAGGAACAGGGTTATAGCAAGATCACGCAGCTCCCGCAGACGTAAACCTGAACATAAATTAAATTCAAAATTCAAAACTCCTTGAATCATGGAGGTAACGATATGAAATTGCAGAAATTCCTGATATTTTCTGAACTGCGAATTACTATTAATTATTAAGACACACTCGGATGCGGTTTTTTCGAAAAAATGATACAGCTCATCTCTTGAAGAATACCACATAGTAACCAGAAAATAGGAAGTCTTGTTATTGGATAAAAATGACACCACTGTCAACTCTTCGCTCTATGGATTCCATCGATTTAAGATCACTGAGTTGCCCAGAAAGTCTTACGACCATTGAACAAACTTATAGGAGAAAACCAAAACGCTTATCATTTATCTTGGTGTTTGAATTTTGCATCCTAGGTGATTTCGTAGAAGGGTACATGGAGGCTTCGCGCAGCTATTTGCAGGAAACACTCTACTGAATCATGGCATTTTTTGGCCTCTCGTATGCTAGAGTTCCCACAAGGTTACTCTGTTTGAGTCGCAGCCTACGTGTCGAATTCAGGACCATTCCATTGTTTGTATCACTTCGCAGCTTGTGAAATTTCCTTCGGATGCTTACTGAACTTCCTGAAGTGAACGACTGCTACCAGTCGGGGAATGGCAACAACGCCAAGCTGCATCCACTCGATAATTAGCGAATCACCGCAATTTCGGTGATAGGGCAGTATGAGGCAACCGCTCGGGTACCGCTTGAATTGCGCCGAACTGAAAAGGCTCACCGAATACACGTGGCCAAGCCTTTTTTTACTTTTCATCAGAAGAAATCTGGACAAAATAATGATTCATGAAGATATCCTGATCTTTATCTGAAACGTACAAGCCTCCTTAGCGGCAAACTTTGTTCATCAACACAGATGACGTTCTAGCTTCGCAGCACCTTGAAAGAATCCTGTAACTTCTTAAGTTTTCCTTCCGATCTTGCTTAGCCTGAAGGAGGCGAACTTGTCCGTTTGATATACTAAACGATAAACTTGAATCCTGTGCATAATTTCACTATCACGTGAGCAAGCAAGTTTCCAATAGCTTCTTTCGTCTGTTCGGCACTCTTGTTCAAGCTCTGAATCATATTTTTTTGTT